TTCAATTTTTGAGTTTCTAAATACGCGTATTAATGTTGATTCTTATGTACCTATTTGCTCAGAAAATGAGGTAATTGGAAAAGAAGTCAGTATTTCTGAGAATTTTGACTTGAAATGAATTCCCTCGAGGCAAGAGCTAAATCATTTGGTGGGTCTAAATAGTTTTTTCATGTCAATGAAATAAGATGTTGAGTTGGTGGTAGAATGTATAACTGATTCAAGAGTTGGAACACCATATTGTACAATACACAAAAGTCTATAAAATATGTGGATTACATTATGTTACAAAGTTTATTTTAACATAGCAAGTGGATAGCTTCAGACTTCATACATAGGAAAGCAATCCACTAACAGGGCCAGCATTATGCTGTTTCATTTGGAAAGGCCATTGTAAAGGCCACAGAGTTGTGCTACCGTGCCAGATTACCCGAAAAACAATCTGAATCCCCTATGCTCGTAAAACTCATCTCATCAATAGCTCTTCCACTGGCTAATTCAACAAACACAATGCCATCCTGAAGTGGAACGGCCTCAGGGGACGTATCTGTGCCGAACTGTTCATTAATATTCCGCCAAGTCTCCTGCAGTTGCAGTGCATACCGGAGGTTACCCAACACGTCATCCATCGATGGACGCTCAATCCCCTCATCACACACGCAATTTTCTGCATTTTTTACATATTCTTTCAAGCATTCGGGCGCTATTTTGTCAGTAAGATACGGATCAATGATCTGATCTATTGTACCCATTTTGATATTAGTTTTGAACCAACGAACTAAATTCACTTGATCCTCGTCGCTTGAGTAGATCATTGGCTTCCTACCACATAATAGTTCAAGTAAGATGACGCCGAATGAGTACACATCAGATTTTATAGTAAATTTTGCATTGCCAAGGTATTCTGGATCCATATATCCCACGATGCTTGTCCACGGTTCAGTTTTGGGCACCACTTTGGCATTCCAATTCTCGTCCAACAAAATATTGGTCGGATTCAGGTTGCGATGAATGATTGTTTGCCTGGTACCTGCGTGGAGGTATTGCAGTCCTCGTGCAACACCAATGCAAATCTCAAGTCGCTTTTCCCAGTTAAGTGAATACTTGTTGGTTTCATTGAGGTGATAGTAGAGTGACCCATGGGCCATATACTCGTACACAAGGATCACCTCATGCTTATCGATGCAGTATCCAATTAAAGAAACAACGTGGAGGTGACGGATATAGGAGTGCACCTGGATCTCAGCCCTAAATTGGTCCAAGTTCCTCTCTCTTGATGTTCCTTCTTTCCACCTTTTAATTGCCACATCAAGATTCTCGCGGCTGATATGGCCTCTATACACTTCGATATCACCACGGAGCCCAATCCCCAGAATCTCATGAAAATTATTTGTGGCTGCTCGAATCTCTGCAAAAGAGAAACGACGGTATGATTGGATGACATCTGCAATTGGATCCTTCCACAACTGCCTTGACATGCCATTCTTAGGACCGTTGTTCTTCCACTTCCTCCACCCAAGATCAATACCTTTAGCCACTACATGTGCAGTACTTAAAAACAGATTGCTTATTATTCCCTTTTGTCGAGATATACGAATATTGCCCTGTGATGCCAATCCATGCTTGAGGCTCCCCACAACTTCACTCATTGTAGGTCTTCCTTTTGGATAATTAAGTAAACATTTGTTAGCAACTTCTGCAAACACCTTTAGACAATTTGGTGATATTTGTCCTCTTATAGAGGGATCAATGATCTGGTCAAGGGTTCCTTTTTTCATGCATCTTTTTGCCCATCGAGCTAGACCCATTTGGTCCTCCTCAACACTTGTATCCACCGGTGGCCTTGCACATAACACTTCAAATAGAACCACACCAAAGGCATACACATCTGATTTCTTGGTCAGTCTACGAGTCAAGAAATAGGCTGGATCTAAATAACCAAAAGTGCCTTTAACATCTGTACTAACATGGGTTCGTGTATGGCTTGTGTTTACCATTTTGGACAACCCAAAATCTGAAATCTTAGCTACCCAATTCTCATCCAACAGAATGTTTGTGGTCTTCACGTCCCTGTGTATGACACCTTGCTCAGTATCCGTATGAAGGTAGTCCAATCCATGGGCAGCTCCTATACAAATTTTGAGTCTCTCCTCCCAAGTAAGATGATAAATATCATTCCCGTTTCCTTTCCTACTACTTTTGTAGAGATGATCGGCGAGTGTCCCATTGGCCATGTATTCATAAACAAGTATCATCTCCTCGCAATCATCAGAGTAGCCAATCAGAGTCACAAGATGTGTGTGTCGGAGCTTGGAAAGCGTCTTGATCTCAGTCCAAAACTCAGCTGCCCCTTGTTTGGACTCTGCATTCGATCGCTTAATGGCAACAGTGGTAGCTCCACCGTCGATGAACCCTTTATACACCTTACCGAATCCGCCTTTCCCAATGACCAAAGCATCATCGAAGTTGTTGGTCGCCAATTGAATCTCAACAAGTGAAAACCAACGGCACAATTTGTCAGATTGATACACAGCGTTTGTAATTTTATTTCCACTGTGAAAAGCTGACATATTTCTTAGCTTTGGAGCCCTACACAACTGTCGATGTTCTACGTGGTTGCTTGCACAAAGGATTTGGAATGGCAATCAACTGTTATGATGAGATGATGAGGGTAGATAAGAGTGGAGGGATGAGAGAAGACATGAAGATCACAAAAATGAAGAAATGGAAGACTCAAATTGGTTCCCTCCTCGGGTCAACAATGGTGGGCTGTGCTCCTAGTCCACGGTCAGTATGCCTCTAATTTTTCATGGATATTATTTCTTCTTAGTAAGTTCTTATAGGAAATTATGAATACTTAAATCTTATGCATACCATCACCAACAATTTTTAATACCTATGATTGGTTGACTACTGAATAATTAAATAGGTTATTGCGGATTTGAAACCATGGATCCAAACTAGGTACGCCTGTTGTCCTGTTGTTAGTCTACTTTTTTAACCAAAATCTAAGCACTTGGAACAGATTGAGACTACGGAACCATTTAAGAAATTTTCTGGAATTTGAAAATTTCTTGGTCTAGTGTTTGATTTTATATTTTGCAGCAAACGTGTGAGAGTAGGTAGCATCAACACAGCGCAAGTTGGATGAACTTCCCCTTGTCAGATGGCAGATCCTGTTTTTTTATTTGGGAATTCTATAGGATAAGATCTTAGAATTTTCTTCTTAATATACATATTAAAAATACTTTGTTGTTCACTATTCTTAAAAATAAAAAAAAAATAATAAAAACTTTGTTGTTGTGTTTTTTATGTGGAAATCAGAGGCCAAAAAGTCCATTCCCTTCTACTAAAACTAATGAATATTTGACTCTTAAAAAGAAGAGTAACTAAGAGCAGGAAAGAACTGTTATGGCCCATGAAATTCAACTCAATTGCTTCATTTTTATGCTTCTTTTGAATGTCATAGGATATTTTGAATTCTAATACTTCTTGGTTACAAGGAAAAACAATTTGAATTTGTTCAGTTCAGGGATGGTGATTATTTACAAAGAACAAAATCGATGTAGTTGAATCTAACCTGATTGGAATTTGGAGGTGCAGCACAGGTGGATGAGATTATAAGGGGTCGGATGGCAGCGAATCATACTATTATAATCCTGTCCAACTCCCAGAGGGTAGGAGCTCCTAAAAATTTTACAAATTTTTCTTATTGATAGATATGACTTGGAATAGTGAAATTTTGATATTTGAAACTGGGTCTACTAGAATAATGTGACGAGGACAACCCAATTGTCACGTGTGAGTTAAAAAGAAAGGTTGGTAAAGTTTACTAGATTACTTGTGTTTAAATCATTCATAAACTCCAAATTAACTTGTGCTAAGAAAAAGGCCTAGACCATGATATCCACTTACACTCAAGACTTTGATGAGAAACACCCACCCCATTAAAAACCAGAAGTAAATGATTTGTTACAGCTGTTGTTAGGATCAAGTTTCATTCCCTTTATTAGAATTTTCTCAGAATATTTGGAACTAATAGTTCATTGAACTACTAGTCAGCAGGGTTCTCTGCCAATATTTGCTGGCAATGCCAACAAACGCATTGCCAATGCCACCAGAGAACATGTTATTATGAGAACAAAGGACAGCCTCAGGGAACTTCACAGCAGTCATTCACACTCCACTTTGACTTCCTGTGCTTCGCGTTAGTATTAGTTTGAGTCGACTTCCTGTTTAAGTTCTCGGAAGTACTCTTCTTTCAGGCTCCTAAATCTAGTCAGGCTTTTAAAGCTTTGTTGCATCACCTGGTTTAGGTATGGAAGAATTCTACTTCTATATTGTGTGGAGTCTATGTGCACACTATAGTTAAAGAAAAACAACTCAATACATGGCAATTCAGAGTCCACTGACAAAATGATAATCATTCAGGGCACCCTAAAAAAATATTCAATAAGAAATTAAGAAAAATATGTTGTGATGGAGAATAAGGTACTTCTAGATTAGATTTGAACATTACAGCAAAATCTTCCTAGATTTAGTGATAGCATTTAATTAACTAATAAGACAAATATAGTGATTGTGTTAAGATTTAGTAATTGCGTCTAACCATGAAAGAAAACAAATATATCATCCATTAGTTAATCAAGAAATATAGAACATTGTACATTAACAATTGTGAACATTGTATATTATTTTGTTTTCCATGTAATCTCATTGTTAACAGTATTTTTAGAATTTTTTTAATACTGTGTGGGCCCAACCAATGAACGATGTGGATGCCGTTTTTAAATCTTTTAATATTGTGTGGGCCCACATCAATGAAAGGTGTGGATGCCATGTACGACATGTCGTCGCACATGGTAGTGGAATGGTTTTTCCAAGGTGTTGCACGTGGACCCAATGCCACTTCATCAATCATTAATAGATGTCCTAGAACTCATGTCTTAGTAGATGCCACTATATCAATCAATTTGTGTGGATTTGATCCACATTGTTGGAGGTATGTATTTTGTATATTTTCTTTTGAGGTTTGTTTAGTCATTTTATCTTATTATTGTTGGGGTTAGACTCTCTTGTATTATACATCTGATTATGTAATAATGATACAATTTTAGTTTTTCTCTCTAATTGATTAACGTGGTATCATAACTCAAGTTGGAAGAGATCTTGGGTTCAAGTCTCTCTATTTGTATTTAGTTCCCATTTGCATTATTTCTCTCTCGTTTGCGTTATTTCTTCTCTCTATAATATATGGACATTTGCATCTCCATGTGCAAAACAGGGTTACACGTGAAGAATGGTATTGGATAGCTTAATATATATTAGGTCTATTTCCTATTAGGTTAACACATATGTTTGTAGTCTTGAAGTATTAGTACTCCCTTTTGTTAGGTGTTTAGTTTGGTAAGACAGAAGAATTGAATCTGTGTTGTGATATGAAAAATTCATAAAAAGCTTTACCAACTATGTTGTTGATAAGGACTGACAAATAAGCAAGAAAGCTATTGGGAGAAATTTTTTCTACATTTGCAACATCTAGGGGTATCAAAATTTATGTCTCCAATGCATTCTCAATCGCACGATGTGATGAAAATCTCGAAATGTAAACATGCAGACGAAAGTGCATTAGAATCAGGGGACATGGATTGATTTTGGGGATTGAGGATCCGGAGCCAATATTCCTTACAATGTTTTCGACTCTACCTTTAAATTCAGAGACAGAAGTACAGCTACAACATTTAGTATCACCTTTATACATTTAGAGGCACGGAGGACTAAACCATCTTAAGCAATCATCTAATATGAGTACAAAATAATACCAAAAAATTGAACATATATACATGTATGAACTAAACAGTTCCAAGTCTAGAACAAAGAAACCAAATTTCTAGACTTCCCTATGATAAATAAACAACAAAATTACTTTCAAAGAAAAAAACTATAGCTAATCCTCAACTCAACCAAGGGAAAGATCAAAGCTTTAAAATGAGATTGTTTTAAAAAAAAAAAAAGGGGTACTTAGAGCTTGAGGGACAAGTCAAGCTTTTGCATCTCATCTTGATTGGTCTTCAACCGGCTGTTGCCACCACCTGCCCACCAATAACCACCAATTACCTCATTGGCGGGAGAACCGGTCATCATCATCCTCACCGCGTCGAATCTTCCAACGCCACCTCGAGATGAAGAAAGTCCAGTTGATGATGATGGATTTGCATGGTGATTCTGTGTGGCTAGCTTCCCAACAGCTGGTTGTTGATCAATAGGAAGCCTTGACCATCCACCATGTCCATACAAACTCCTAAATCCTGAAGAACTTGGCATGTTAGAAGCCTTATGGATCATCGAATGAGCCTGTATTCCAAGAGCCCTAGAATTATAATTATAAGCACCATGAAGGGGAAGAGAAGCCAAGCTAGAATAATGGTCATGCTGATCATGGTGCCAATAAGAGTGCCCATGAGGTGGTACAGGTGACCATATTTTAAGTCCTCTTTTAGCTAAAGTCCTCTCTCTTTTGTGTGCATTTTGGTGTCCTCCAAGTGCTTGTGAACTAAAGAACTTTCTTCTGCAATAGGTGCATGAGAAAACCCTTGGCTCGGCCTCCGGTTTTTGGGGATTTGCTGATGAAGTTCGAGTTGAATCCATGTTCAAACAATCAATAAGATTGAGTTCTGGTTTGAACATATCATTGGAGTCCTTACAAGAGAGCTTGAGATCAATCATCTTCTCTAGTTGTCCATCTTCTTCTTCTTCTTCTTCTACTACTACTACTACTACTTTTCTTTCTTCTTGTGTGTTCTCCATTGAAGTGTCTGGACATGGAGGAGCCTCTGGTGTAGAGGTGGTGCTTGAGGACTTGGAAGGACATGGTTTCTCTCTTTGTGGTTCCATTGGGGAGTATATGAAATTTGTAAAGATGAGAGAGAGAGAGAGAGAGAGAGTACTTGGTTTCAATTCAATTGATTGAAACTAAACAATGCTATATAACTGTATAACTAATCTACTGGTCATGGTTCCTAAGAGCTGATTGTATAAAGATTTACCGTCATAGTTCAACAACTATAGCATTCCAACAATCAACTAAATGACTTAATCAATGACAGTAACATTAGATGCCACACACGCCCAAGTATTTTAAGATAATAAGAACATGTTTAATTTCGTTTTTATTTTTTTTGTTTTTGTTTATATTTTTATGTTCTCGAAACATAAACAATGAGAAGTTCAAAAAAATAGTCTTTATTTTTGCGTGTCTTTCCTAGAAGGTGGAGTATTTTTAGAAAATAATTTTCAAAACTAGTTTCGCAAACAGTTATAATCTTTACTTCATATCTCTTTTATTTCTATAAATTTCTAATTCAAACGCAACCACAAGATAATGAGTAAGCTGTTATTAAGAGATGGTAAGTAAATTAGTCAATCAAATAATTTTCCCATTAAATTTTAATGTGCACACTTCATGCCTAATTTATGTAAATAAAATAATATAATGGTTATCATGCCTAGTTTATGTATATTATTTTAGTTTATGTAAATAAAACAATATAAAGAGAAAGTATTTTATGTAACGAGTATGTTATTTGGCTGAACTGTCGTGTTTTCTGCCATTTCACTTATTATGTTTTATGTAGTAAATGTAGAATTGAGACGTCATTTAATGTTGACTTGAGATGTTGAGTGTTCGACCACATTAAGCTCTGATGCTACTTTTAACCGAAAGAGTAATCACATCAAGTCTTACATATACATGTGATACAAAATATTTTTGAGGGAATTAACATCTAGGGGTGATTTTAAAAAAATATTACAAATATATGGAAAAAGTTTTAGATTTTGATTATTATTGATAAAGTTATTTACTAATTTATAAATTATTTTTGAAACGCCCACTTATATGTTATTCTCCAAATATTTTCCACTCAAAACAATGTTATTTTCAAGTAAAGAAAAACTCAACCATCATGAGTGATTAATAGCTTAAGAATTTAACATGACTAATGATCTCTCTCTATCACTACATCTAATATAAATTCCTGAGTCTGCACTATTTCATTGGCTGAGGAATGCACGTGTGTTGCCTCTTCAGGTTCGGAGTACACCAAGCCTGCACTAAGGCCTCGTTTGGGGACTTATCTTTTTAGCCAAAAAGTTAAAAAGTTACCTTTCTAGTCAAAAAGCTAACAACTCATACCAAAAAGTCAAAAATTCTCTTTTCTCTCTACTTTTTACACATCTTTTCGTAATTAGCCAAAAAGTCATCCCAAACATATAAGTTTTTTTTACTTACTTTTTTAGCCAAATAGCCAAAAAGTTACTAAATTAGCCTGTTCCCAAACGAGGCCTAAGTTATTAATTATGGTAAATTGCAAATATATCCCTCAAAGTTTACTTAAAATATAAATTTTCCTATATGAATATAGAAATTATATTCCACCTCTTAAAATTTTTAGTCACATAACAAATAGTAATACTTTCATTAATTAATTATTAAGTCAATTAATAGTTTTTAATGATATTAATAATATAATTCAATTAACGGTTCTAATAATTTCATTGCCGTAGAAGAGGATAGTTAGGAATTTCAATTTTGCAGCAATTTTATTGAATAAAATTTTTTGACAAAGAGATATTTATAATTTCTATAACTACATGAGATAATCTATATTTTAGGCAAATACTAGGGAGTGCATTTGCAATTTATCCTATTAATTGTTAGGACAAATTACATTACATTTCTTGAGGGGTTTATTTAAAATACCGATTTTCCTTCTAGTTTGACAAAGGAATTATATTATTCTAAGTTGATCATCTAAACTTAAGAGAGCATTTGGGGTTGGTAAGTCTATTTTGAGGCCAACCTTACTAATCCGAACTGTTCACTTTTTACGATTTATTGAGTAAAATATTCATTCAAAAATTTAAGATAATCGGATATCATTAATTATATGTTTGAATCATATTTATTTTTAAAAATATGGAGGACAGATACAATTTCAAGAGTAACTATTTATTTTTAATAATGTCAACATTAAAATACTTGATTAGTCTACAATACCTAAAGAAAATGACTACTATCTTTATCTTTTGATCCTCACTTTTATTTTTTATTTTTTTTAACCAACACAGTGGCTACTCCTCTCATCTCCCACTTTTCTACCGAGACAATCATCTGTTGGACAATCTTCACTGTAATTAATTAATTCTGTTTATGTACTTAACAACAAACAGAATATACAAGAAATAAAGGAAATGAGAGAAAATGTTGATTACAAAAATCAAACTAGAAATAAAATTAAATATATAAAAACAGATTTTATTTTGTTACAAAAACAAAATTAAAATCTGATTTAATAAATAACTAAAACAGAATAATAAATTAAACAACTTACTTGGTTAATTTCTTCGAATAATAATCTGATCAAGTCTAGTGTTTAACACTGTGTCCTTAAGACAGATTCGTCCTCTCCTCGGTATTTTCAGAATATGGACGTCTATCTCTCAGGATGAAATGATCAATAACAAATATATGCAGCACTACAATATATTTGTACAACGAACACACTAAGTGTTTTATACTCTCTCTCACAAGAAAATAATGCAACAAAATGAAGAGTATGAATGCATAATTTTATGGACGAAAATTGGAGTGAATCTGATCAAATGAGGGCTGGTCTATTTATAGAAGTAATGGCACCCTTTAATTTTGAATTGAACAGGTAGCATACCTGTTTGAACAGGTACTGTACCTGCTGGGTTTGAATTTGAACAGATAATCGAATTTGTTTGAATTTCAAATCTGTTCAGGTGGATTTAAATTTGAACCGAACAGAATCGGTTTTGGACAAATCCGAACTTGTACAGAATTTCTGAAGAGGTGCAAATAAAAATTTGAATTCAAAAAATTAAAATTTAAATTGGACAGAATTTATTCTATCAAAAATAAATTGAATTCAAATATTTTTGACCCAAAAAGATTAGTATTGGGCCGGACAACGACGCGCATGCATGTGGTGATTTTTGGATCCAATGGGTCTAGCCCATTTTGTCCATAACTTCTCCCTTCTACAAACTTGGGGTGCACCTTTGGACCCTCCCCAAGTTATAAGTCCAAGCTATATAAACTCATTTAAAACTTCTCACTAAATCAATGTGGGACAAGCCATTTATACAAACCTTAAGGAATTTTCACCAAAACTTCATTTCTATGGAGCACACTTTAGCTTCAATTTTCCAGTCACTCGATAATGGTTTTGAGCAACCAAATATACCACGTGAATCACAACGCGGCATTGAACGTGTTACCACTTAGACCTGCGAAAATCGACGCTCGGATCCCACCTAAAAATTAGACCAAAATTTAAAAAAAAATTTAATTTACCCAAAATTTTTCCAACCATTTCCAACACCATCACCTTTATCAGCTCCCCAAATCGTTACCCAACCCTCTACCGTTGCCTCCTTACCTCTCCATTCCATTGTTATTTCACTGCATCTCCCTTTTATTTTTTATTTTTTTAAAAGAGTATTGATGGTTAAATAAGTGCTTTAATCAGCACAGGGCCATCTAAGACCTAGGAGGTCCTGTGTCTCTCCCTGAACTTTCGATATTTATACTATTATCCATATATATAAAAATTATGTATTATTTATCCCTTATAAAATCATAATAATGGCCGTCTTTAAATCGGGTAAACCTCATTGTATTTTTAAAATTTTAAAAATGTTCTATTCTATTCTTTTGGTTATTCTTGTACACTTTTAATCGACATGTCAAGGCAAGAATTGAATCAATTAATAATTCATTTCTCTTCATTGTGGGGCTCTTTTGTTGAGTAGATAGGATTGAACTTATTATTGTAGATTTAGTTATTTGTTTGTTTGTTTGTTCATACTGTTTGGTTAATAGAATTTAGTTATTGCTTGTGAATTTATAAATCGGATGGATGTAAATCTCAGGATAATTATAATAAAAATAAAAATGTATCAAGTTTAATAATATCTCGTTGTTACTTGTTATGAAAAGAAAAAAAAATTAATCAGTGTGTTTGGTTTGAGTTTTTTGAATTAAGTTTTTTGAAAATTGAGATTTTTGGTTTTCTTGTTTTTTTGTTTTTAGTGAATATTTTTAAAATTTTAAACATATTTTTTAAAAAAATTTAGATGCACCTTACTTAGATGTATCTAAAAAGTAAAAAAATTTATGAAAAAATATTTTAAAAAATTAATAAATACTTAAAAATACAAAAAATATACTGAATTCTTGTATTTTTTTATATATATTTTTGGTATTTAGTGAATTTTTAAAAGATTTTTTTTTACAATTTTTTTACTTTTTAGGTATATTTATGTTAGGTATGTCTAAAAAAAAATGAAAATATTAAAAAAATTCAATAAAAACAAAAAAAAACATAAAAAACAAGAAAGTAGAATTTTTTGAAAAGTGTTTTTGGAAAAGAAGAACCAAGCAAAGTGATGTTGTGCTTGATGTGTGCCATCTCCACATTAAATTTCTAGCTTTGTCACTAATTTTGATAAATAAAATTACGGACGTTAGTAAAATCAGTTAAAAAATAAAAAAATAAAAATAGGTATTTGTCACGGGATTTGAAACCTCAATAAGTGAAATATATTTTTTCAAAATTTGAGCGAAAATTTTATATTTTATACAAATCCGAAGATATATTTGTAATTTGCCTTAATTACCAAGTAAAAATAAAAAATAAATTACGATAGTTAACATCACTTTCACTTTCACACATGAATGATGAATTGCTCTCAAGCAACATCTCACTATCTGGAACGAAATTTTTATGTTAAAGTGAAACAAACGTGGATTGCGTCACAAACTTACACGACTAAAGTTTCGATCAATCAGTCAATCAGGCATCTCTCTCAAGTTTTCCCAATTACATGAGTAATGTTCTAGATAGTTCAAGATTTGTTACATAAAAATTTCCACAGCTTTATCTTTTATTTTATTACTATAATCATCCAAATATACTATTAATTAATTACTTAATTAATTTTTTTTTTGGCAAGTACAAGTAATTGTGTAGATAAGCAATGTAATTTTAGTCGCCAACCTTTGGCAATAAGTGTGTTCAGGGAATATTTTGATTCGTCTAAATTGATTGAACTAAACTAATCTGCTATATTTTGAATGGATATATGATGATGAGCAGACGGTTGTAGATAGATTTTTTTTCAATCCGCCTAGTTTTGGACGGATGGCGAATTTGAAATTACTTTGATTGCAAACCAAACCGTTAAACCGCGAGCACCCCTAGTAATTTGTAAGACTTTGTATTTTTAATTTGTTTAGCTATTCTGTTTGTGTTTTCAATTGAAAAAGAGTTTAGATATTATGTTGTTATTTTCAATTTGTTTTCAATTTGAAATTTTTTTTATCAAATGGTAAGTGTTAATATTAGGTATTTTTTGTGTGAAAAATATAAGGTTTAATTTTGTTATTTTTTTAAAAAAAATCAAATTAAATAATTTTTTTAATTAAAAAAAATTTAATGAAATAGTTTTGATAACGCATGGTCTTTTTATATATATATTTATTATTAGTATTTGACAATTTATTTGATAATCTTTTAGTTATATTGAGTTGGATTGTTATCAAAAAAAAAATGTTGACAAATTATATTATGTTTAAAATTTGTAAAAGTCTAAACTGCCAAACGGATTCGCATCCATCCGCCAATCTGCTCAATCCGCATCTATCAATCCAGCAGATGGATGCGGATTGATTTTTTTCAATCCGCCAATCCGGCGATCGGATGATGGATTGAAGATTCCTCGACAGCAACTGAACCACGAGCACCCCTATTTGGCAGCAACTTATAAGTTATTAATATTAGGAAAATGAGTGGGAGCACTAATTAGTGCTACCACAATGTTTTTGTGCCTTGTTTTTTTTGTTTTTTTTTTTTTTAAAAAGTGGGTGCCAACTCATTAGTGGTGCTTTAGAGCACCACTTTTAGTGGGATGTAGCATTGCTGTTGTATTTAATCTCTCAACAATGATAGAGACCACTAATTTTGGAGCTCTAAAAAGATCACTAATGACATGACACTTAATAAAAAAAGAAAAAAAATACAAAATAATTTTTTTTAGGATGGTGTTGTCTAAACAGATTTTAAAAAGATACTTTTATTCAAAAATAATAAAAAGATATTTACTAATAACAAAATAAATTTAAAAATAAAGCATCGTATACGTTGCAGTCAAAAGAATAGCATAGCATAGCATAGCAACAAATGACCGAAAAGTATTGGGGGGATTATTTTAACATCATAAAATCTACAAAGTAAACCCATGAGATAGGTATAATCTTAGCTTTATTTATTATTAATCTAATAATTTTGGCAAAGTAGCTCCTACTTTCATTTTAACCAAACTTGTTTCTCCTAATGAAACCCCACCCACATTAAAAAAAATAAATAAAAAGAAATGGTTGAGTGTAGTTTAACATTACATTTTCATTGGCTTGTGTAAAATGGAGACACTCCATATGATTCCATGTTCCATTTGCTCTTGTCTAATCATATTGGATCAATATCTCTTTACTTAGATATATCTTTCTCTCAAAACAAACGAAAAATGTCTGAAAACTCTAAATTGGGAGCACTAAAGGAGTTCTAGAGAGTGAGTTCCATTAACTGATGTGATGTTTTGACCTTAAGTTTTTTTTTTTTTTTTGAATTTCCACCTCATTAGTGGTCCATTAGTGCTCCCAAATTAGTGGGATGTATTGTTGCAAAACAAACCATGTTTGAAAAAGTAGAAGAAAAAAAAACAAAGGAAACAGTCTTCCAACACTTGGCACCCATAAAATATTGGAAAAATGGTTAACTACTCAAAAAGAGGACAACTCACCTTTCAATAATACATTCATAATATAACTTATTATTATTAACTCAAATCTATAATTTTCTTGATTTCACTTGAATACACATGTCTTGACTTCGTAATCAATCCCAACCTCTAACCTGTTATAGTCTCACATCAGACAAAAAAAAATAATTAAATAAATAAATAATGTCTTGATGGCCCTGTTTGGCAAAGACTATTTTTTTTTTCTTTTCGAGCTAAAATTCACAAAAAGAAAAAATAAATTAAAATAACTAATAAGATAAAATGTCACATCAAACCTATAATCATTTTATTTTTTCTTTCATAAACATCACATCCAATTAAAAAAAAATCCAATTATCTTTTCAAATACAAAAATTTTAACCTACTAAAATAGTCAAAAATTAAAATAATCTACTAAAATAGCCACATTTCTAAACACACACATATATTAGATAGACCTCATAACTTAAATGTTTGTTTGGGTGGACATGAACTTGGGATTGGACTAATAATCCAATAAAATTATTAATCCGATGTTTGGTTAAACAATTGAAGTACGGACAAATTATTTTAAACTTGACTATTAGTTAAGATAGGATACATAATCCAACGGATTCGTAATCTTAGGACTATTAGTCATGGAAATGCTAATCCAGTCCGCCCAAACAAACATGACCTTAAGTCGTATGAGTTCTAAATCAGACTATGCTAATAAATGTGTGTGAACTCTAAAATTTCTCCCAACCTAAATGAGCTAAGTAGTGTTGCTTGTTCACGAGACCCACCACTCCAATAGGTATGACTTGGTTGGCAATACTTTTTAGGGTAAACTACTAATAGTTCTTAATAGTTGAACTTAATTCTCATCAAGTCCTATTGAAAATAAATCTTGATAATTTTGTTGCTAAAAATTTTTTTTTTTTCTTTTTGAGCTAAAATTCACAAAAAGAAAAAATAAATTAAAATAACTAATAAGATAAAATGTCACATCAAACCTATAATCATTTTATTTTTTCTTTCACAAACATCACATCCAATTAAAAAAAAATCCAATTATCTTTTCAAACACAAAAATTTTAACCTACTAAAATAGTTAAAAACTAAAATAATCTAATAAAATAGCCACCTTTCTAAACACACACATATTAGATAGACCTCATAACTTAAATGTTTGTTTGGGTGGACATGAACTTGGGATTGGACTAATAATCCAATAAAATTATTAATCCGATGTTTGGTTAAACAATTGAAGTACGGACAAATTATTTTAAACTTGACTATTAGTTAAGATAGGATACATAATCCAACGGATTCGTAATCTTAGGACTATTAGTCATGGAAATGCTAATCCAGTCCGCCCAAACAAACATGACCTTAAGTCGTATGAGTTCTAAATCAGACTATGCTAATAAATGTGTGTGAACTCTAAAATTTCTCCCAACCTAAATGAGCTAAGTAGTGTTGCTTGTTCACGAGCCCCACCACTCCAATAGGTATGACTTGGTTGGCGATATTTTTTAGGATAAACTACTGGTAGATCTTAATAGTTGGACTTAATTCCCATCAAGTCCTATTAAAAATAAATCTTGATAATTTTGTTGTTAAAAATAATTTTTTTGCGACAATTTTTTATATATATCGCTAAAAATTGACAATTAGTAACTTTTTTTGTCATGATTTTTATAAATTGTTGTTAAAATTTATAATTAGTGACTTTTTTTATGATAAATTTTTCTCATAAGACCTATTAAATAATAAATCCACTTTTTAAGAGCTATACGTAAGTACTCCTACTTTTTAGTTTGTCATCCTAGAGCCTATGTTTTTTGTTTTTTCTTTTTAAAAAAAAAAATAATAATAATAATTAAAAATTAGAAAAACAAACTTGCAACTGCTATTTGGTTCAGATACTATCCTGAGCCTAATTTCCAACTGTTTTCTTTCCTTTGACAGTTCATTTTTCTCCCTGCAGTCATTGCTTTTTCTGCTATTATATTCACCCCACCCTTTTTATTTCCCTGCATTCTTCTCTTCCTTTCCAGTTGGTTTTCTCTCTGCATTCTAGTTATGAGGAAATAGTAATAGCTACCTTGATATCAAGATATAGCAATTTATCACTAATATTACCTTTTTGTTGCTTTCGCCTTCTCTTCCTCTTCACAAATCCCTCCCTAAATCCTAGATCCAAACACAGTGAAACTTTTAAGAAAGATTTCTCTGATCTTACCATTACTAGAATAAAATGTTAAACATAAGGTAGATAATGGTGACATCGGGTGAAGAGATTGGTATGAGTGAAATTGAGATTACAAGTAATTTTAGCTCAAAGTTTGGATTTCAGTTAATAGAAACCGCAATTGCAATTCCAATTCCAAAGCACAAATTCCACACTACCAAATGCAGTCTAAAAGAATTCTCGATGAGCACCATGTAATCACTTTGTTCTTGTAGAGCATGTTGATGTAGTTTTTCCATCAACATCAATAATAATCAACCTTTCAGTTCCTACAAAGTAACAAATCCAGTAACTTTTTGACTCCTTCGTACACAATATATCTCTAACACAAGACCACAACTCAATGCAGTAATTTCATATTAAATTGGCCACTGAAGTAATCAGAAATGACATAAGAGTGGTTTAAAAAAATCATCATCACTAATGCAATTTCTGCCAGACAATTGGAGCATGAGTAAAGTTCAAAGGTATGAAGTTTTAATGACACTGATTATCTAATGCCATGTCACAAATAATATACCATGATACATATAAAGAATATAACAAAAATTATTGACAAACCAACAGGGTATTTACAAACAATATAATGGAAGGAGGACCAGTAGCGAGGCTCGCAACATTACCTATTTGGTCATCCAATAAATCAAAATGAGAAATGTGCAGACAGAAGCAACCAAGGAAAGGATGATAGTGTCCATGGACTTTTTCCTCTTTATTGATGAGAGAATATGATTCACCTGCAAAATACGAATTTACCCAGCTAACAATAAATTTCACTGAAGTAATCCCTTGGCGCAGAACCATATTTGGCACTCACACAACTCATTCCATTTTGTGTCCATAGCATTTTCAATGATTCTTGGCTTCAGAGCAATTCAAAATGCTCCATGTCCAAGTTTACAGTAAAATTTGTTTTGTTCTGGTGACTTCTTTAAGGCACCGCATACAGTCAAATGCTATGGAAACCAAAATGGTATAACCACTTTTCTCCCTCCCCCATATTTTTTCTAAACACCCAATCAATCATTAACAAGAAACCAGCATTTATAAGAATGCAAAACCAAGTGGCAACTTATTTCCCATACCGTTGGAAGTCGGCTGCTGACATTGCTAAGCTTTGAATTGATGCCTCCAAATGTTGATCTTTGAAAGACGAGTGTACCGAGGGTCTCTTGTGCTTGAGAAATCACCGAATCCATCTGCAGCAAAACCACATTAGTGGACACAAATAGACACATGCACAAAGCAGAAACAAATATCATGTACCTCCCTTGAGGTATTGGCATTTGCATTATTCAACTTCACTAAGGTTATATTACACTTCTTTTAAGAAGTTTGCACAGCATTTTTTTTTTTTGGATATAAATAAGTTTGTACAGTATTTTCATAATCTGATCACTTTGAATACTCATGTGGCAAAAATAACGAGCCAAGAACCTAAAAGTAAATTACTGAATAGAAGATCAAATATCATATGAGAGGGATGCACAGAACTCTAATGATCCATCTCTATTGTCTTCCAAACTAAAGTTTGTAATGTGTTTTATCTCCCCAGCACCAAACTTATGATCAAATCACCACGTACATTCAACTTACTGCTTTATGCCCCCTCCCACCTACCCCGCCCTACCTTCATCTTGGCCAGGCTCGATAATATGCTCAGTTTGGTCTGATAGTTATTTTAACTTTAGAAGAATGATTCACTTCAGACTCTCATATGGTACTTAACAGTGATCATTCATTTTGAATTTCACTTTTCTCTACTTACCATTGTGTTGTTTTTCTCCTTAAAGTTTCACCACCTAGCTCTTGGACAAATTTTCCCCTCTTCAATTCATCTTAAAATACAAAATCCATAACCATAAGCCTTTATTTTTGGATCAGTATCTCTTCTATAAATCTGTAATTGTTAAAATTAAAGAGAAACTAGCAAAGAAAGTATAGTAATTGAAATTCATCATTTTGTCAATATATATTAGTAGATATATATGATTACTAAGTTCAAATTGCCTACTCTTTTCCGCCAGCTGGTTGCATTTGCTCAGGAAGAATTAAGTTTATGAAATTGTGGCCTTACACATTACCAACATCTGTATTAGCAAGCACCTAAGAACCTTGGTTACTCTACATTCTACACAACCATGTAATAGAGTATTAATGAAATGAGGGATCCCAATAGTACAATGACTGGATCACAGCACAGAAAAATTAAAACCTAGCTGGTGATTTACATCTGCAAATTGTGGCTCACAGCATTTAAAAACCTAATCAAATTTTAAATCGAGTATTCATCATGTAATTCTGCTTCAAGAAAATATTAACAGTGGCATATATCAGAGAGAAACCAAGTTAACAAGTCTGTTGTTCTTTTCTATGTACCGTGTCTCTTGCACTCCGCAAAGCACTTGTAACAAGATTGACAGGTCAAGCACTTGAAAACAATATAACACAAGATCATATATTGAATATGCAAAGATGAAACTTGTATGTGCTACAGCAAAAGCTCTTATAGCTAAAACATGTTTGGCAATCAATAAAAAATCACAGTTTTCTCCTACAAAAGATCATATCTGATCTTGAACATACAATTTGAATATGTTTCACAGAAGTAACTGTGATGTCTGTTTGAAGGACTAGGAAAATAAGAAGTGGAAGGAAGTCTGATTCTTTGCAGAAAGTAACTAAATTCCACACTCCAATGTTAACTTTTGAGCATCAAGAATTGAAAAGGACAGAACTACTGCATATGATTAGTTACTGGCAGTTAATGCCATAACACAAATTTTCCTCAACTTTTGTTGATACATGGATGTGTCCAGATTCAAAGCACTTGAAGTTCAACTTCAATCAGTACTCTCTAAGACATGAGAAGAAAATTGTTAGGGGATGAAATTGTAGAGATCTGAGGATAATACCACATACTTTTAAAAATTAAAAAAAAATTAAAAAAATTAAAAAAAAGGAGCTAAACAGGAGTCAATTCCTCACAAAGGCCTTGGTGAGCTATCACATACGCAGAGAAGTGCAGAACCTGGCATCTAACATGATGGTCCAATTGATCCTGAAGGCACCAACATAAGAGGCTGAACCACCTAAACGAGAGACACACTCATCTTGCTAATTTCTTGTGGCCCTTCACTACTCTTTAGGGATATTGGTTGTTTTCACATTCATATCTTTCCTTTTTTGTGCTCCTTTTCATGTTTCATTACATATATCGTTTTATACTCAGTTGCTGATCTGTTCTCCTGTACTTGCAGTCTACTTTCTTTTTATACTGAATTTCATTTATTGTCTATAAACATAGTTTTCAAAGGAGAATTAAGCCTTGAGACTCACCTCACACACATGAAGCCAGATAAAGCTTCATTACACGCACTTAGACATTAATAATCAAACGCAAAAACAAAGGTATATTTAACAGGAATTAATCTCATCAAACTATAGAAATATTATTTAATTATCACTGGAATAATTTCATTGATAACCGTGGGTACATGGATAACTCCGCCAGGGATGTGTACAACTCTGCCGGTCCTAAGCCCAGAAAAAGGAGGTGGGTTGTGTTAGGTAGCCAACAACCAACACGTAAAAAAACCACTCGGATCCCTTATGACAATAAATCCTACTTTGAATCGTTTAAATGCTAGATCGTTCCCCTCAAGTGACGAATTGCGCCCGCCTCCGGGTGTTTCGAAAGTGAGCAAGGGGTGCCGCATCAACGCCGGGGTGCGGTGAAAAATGGGCAAAGATTCTAGCGTTTTCCTGGACGAGCACGAGTAAAGAAGCTAATCCAAAACTATAGGTTTAGGGTAGCCACTTAGAATATAGGAACCTTAATTGGTAAGACGATGAAATTGGTAGATGTTATAATTAGGAGGAGAGTTAGTATAGCTTGCGTACAAGAAACTAAGTGAACGGATGAGAAAGGTAAGGAAATTAAGGATACCGATTTTAAACTGTATTATAGTGGCAAGGATAGACGCAGGAATGGAGTAGGAATTATAATTTCCAAGGGTCTTGTGGAGAGTGTAATGACTATCATTAGGAAAGGAGATAAGATTATGTTAGTTAAACTAGTTATTTGAGTGAATAAAGTGAACATTATTAGTGCATACACCCCTCAAGTAGGATTAGATGATCAGATTAAGAGGGATTTTTTGGAGCAAATGAATGAAATCTTACAGTAGATACCCGTAGGAGAGAACCTGATTATAGGTGGAGATTTTAATGGCCATGTAGGCATAGATAAATTAGGCTATGAAATTGTGTATGATGGATATAGTTTTGGTGACAGAAATGAGGTTGGAGAGAGTATCTTAGATTTTGCATTAGCTTCTAACCTAGTGGTGGCCAATACTATGTATAAGAAGAGGGAGGAGCATTTGATAACTTTTAAGAGTGGGTCAATTAAGAGTCAAATAGATTACTTAATGAGAAAAGTGGACCGCCTAAAATGCAATGATTGTAAATCGATTCCTGGAGAAAGTCTGGCCTCTCAATATAGGATTTTGGTACTAGATTTGTGTTTTAAAGGACAATACCAAGTTAGGAAGGATGGTGGGCATCCTAGGACGAGATGGTGAGACCTAAAAGGGGATAAACTAATAATACTTAAGAATAGAATGAATAAGGAAGGTACTTGAGACTTGGAAGATGATGCTAACACTATATGGAACTCGATGGCCAATTGTATAAGGAGAATCTCAAGGCAAGGGCTTAGAGAGTCGAAAGGAACGAGACCCAGCTCAAGGAAAACTTGGTGGTAGAGAAAAGAGGTTCAAGCGGTAGTTAAGGCAAAAAAAGAGTGCTTTAAAAAGTGGCAGAATGATAGAGCTGAGGAAAACCTCAAGAGCTAAAGATTGGCTAATAAGGAGGTTAAGAAAGTAGTGAGAGGCTAGGTTGAGAGCTTATGATGACCTATACACTAAACTAGATAGTAAGGAGGGAGAGAAGGAGGTATACAAACTTGCTAAAATACGGGAGAGGAAAACAAGAGATTTTAATCAAGTTAAGTGCATCAAGAGTGAGAATTCTAAGGTATTAGTGAATAATGAAGAGATTAAGGAAAGATGGAAGAACTATTTTGAGATATTATTAAATGAGGAACATAAAGGTACGTCAATGTCACGACCCCAAACCGCCCCTAGTAGTTTGATGCCGTGATGGCCAGTAATCCGTAATTACCGAAGGCCAACTTTTCCAAAAACTTAACACAATCAGAGTATGGATATAGGGGGCTCACAATGCGGAAGCAATTAAATCAAATACAAGTGGTCCATAAGAGCTGTGCGTAGATCAAAACAATGCCAAACATTCCAGATAATTTTACAACTTGAATACAACAGCGTAAAAATACATGTTACATCTTGATCAAAAGGCTTCTCGAGCCGACATAAACAAAAGTACAGCTATTACAAGTCAAGAAGCATGATTTTCAAGATTTGCCGACATGCAAAACAGGGCACCGCCGACGTAAATACAAAAGTAAAGCCGACATAAGTACAAATCCAAAACAAGCATCCAAAACGATCTAGGCGTCGCCGCCGTCCTGCTCATCACCTACATATATATAGAGGGGTGAGCAAATACTCAGTGAATGGTACTAATAATAAAGGTTTTGCATGAAATTAAGCCGAGGTCCTTCAACGAAACACATCAAAACTTTAGCAAGACGAGGGATTGAACCGTATTCATCAATCAAAATATTACAAGTTATCCAAAGATAGTTTACTGAATAGGCCAAAAACAAGGGATGACCGTAATCCATTCAAGTATCATAACATCGGCGAGCAAGGGAATGAACCGTAAATCATCAATTCAGTATCATAACATCGCGAAGCAAGGGATGAAACCGTATTCATCATTCAAGTATCATAACATCCGAAGCAAAGGAAATGAATCCAGTATTCCAAGAGGCATTCAGTATCACAATACATGGCAAAGCAAAGGGAATGAACCGTATCATCATTCAATAACAAAGGAACTGTAACCGAATCCGTAAAGGTAAAATCGTTGGTCCAAAAAGTATTGCGAAAGTTTAAAGTCCTCCATAAAGGACTTGTGTTACTTAGGGCCCGTAGCCCGATTTAACCAAGGACCTGTATCCTTTTATAAACTTGTACTCAAAAGGTTTGAGTCCTCCAGCACAAGGGAACTTGTGGTTACTAGGCCGAGCCCGATTTAACAAGGACCGTAT